TTTTCAAAATGTTATAATAATTTATCTATGGAGTATTTTGAGCTGAAACTTCACAGACACATTCTGGGGACACCAGAGACTTATAGTACATATTGTAAAAAGGGGCATAATATGTCTCCTTTAATATTTCACAAAATGGACATTTTTATCAGTAATTGTACAGTGTGCTGCAGTATATGGCTTAACCCTGTAAAGCCTGACATATAAATTAATAGTCACTAGTTGAGCCTTTAGACAAAAATAAAATAAAATATATATATATAATGTGTTTCTTGTTGAATATCATGCTGATACATCAGGCTTTTATGGCTCATATAGTATGATATTGGAAGTAAAAAAACAAAACAAATAATTGTGAACCAATACACCCTTATTTTTTACATCATACTGAAGTAACATAGTAACAGCAGATCATATTTCCATTTTCCCTTTTTCAGTGCTGCACTCAAAGAGGACAGACTTGCTTTGGTGCAGAATGGTTCGAGTTCTCCTTGTTTGGACCTGAGGTATAATGTTTTACCGCCATATTAGTATTTTCATCTGTTGGAGTGAAACAGAAAGCCAATGCTATGTGAGTTCCCTCTGCTTAAAACCATGGTCTCTCCCTTTGTTCTTCATTCTTCAGTCGCCTGGACAAAGTCCTGGCCACAGTCGTCAGGGAGCGTGGCACAGATCTGGTGATCATTGAAGGAATGGGTCGGGCCATCCACACAAACTACTACGCCATGCTCAGCTGCGAGAGCCTTAAACTAGCCGTCATAAAGAACTCCTGGCTGGCCGAGCGTCTTGGAGGCAAGATCTTCAGTGTAGTCTTCAAATACGAGGTCCCTTCCAAAGCCCAAGGGCAACATTAGGGAAATTAAGAGGTTTTTAGGGGTAAAATGGCTAGTGCTGAAAGGAAAGAGCACTACCAAGGGTCCTCTGTGCTTCTTCCTGAGATTGACATAATGATTGTATTTGGGGTTTTCCTTTGCTTTGCTTTATTTTCTTTTTCTTTTTTTTATCAAAATCAATAATAGTCGTGTGTGCCTGCTCTGAAATCGAATGTGCACGTCTGATGTAACCTCCCTCATAACAATTGGATGACATTTGTAGGGGCTTTTTCTTTTGATGAGATTGAATTTTATTGTTCTCAGACCAGATTTGGTTGCTGTTGAATAGTTTGTTGGATTCAGGATGGATTGGAATGACAAATAAAACATTTATGAACAGTTTTCAAATTGAATTAGCCCTAGTAATGAGGTCTTACACTTCTCTCCTGCTGGATTTAACAATATATTTAAGTGTATAAACCTCTGTTTATTAAAGAGATAGTTCACCCAAAAATTCTGTCATTAATTACTCACCCTCATGTTGCTCTAAACCCGTAAGACCTTCGTTCATCTTCGGAACACAAATTAAGATATTTTTGATGAAATCTGAGAGCTCTCTGACCCTCCCATAGCCAGCAAGGTAACTACCACGATCAAGGAAGGGAAACGTAGCAAGGAGATCGGTAAAATAATCCATGTGACATCAGGGGTTCAACCGTAATTTTACGAACGTAGTAAGGACACCAATAAAATTGTCCATCATGTGACAGGTGTTCAACTATAATTTTACGAAGCTACGAGAATACTTTTTGTACGCAAAGAAAGCAAAAATAACGACTTTATTCAACAATTCGTCTCCTCCGCTTCACCCTAGCTCCATTTTGAAGAGTATCCACTGAACGCAAATTGCGTATGCTATTCTGTGTCAGCTGTGCCACGTGGATACGCTGATTACGTCGTTTACGCTTTGATTTCAACGAAAACAACACATCCGCGTGGAGCAGCTGACACAAAACAGCATACACAATTTATGTTTAGTGGATACTCTCCAAAATGGCACTAGGGTGACGTGGAGGAGACGAATTGTTAAATAAAGTCGTTATTTTTTTTCTTTTGCGCTCAAAAAGTATTTTCGTAGCTTCGTAAAATTACGATTGAACCCCTGATGTCACATGGATTATTTTACCGATCTCCTTGCTACGTTTCTGGACCTTGATCGTGGTAGTTACCTTGCTGTCTATGGGAGGGTCAAAGAGCTCTCAGAATTCATCAAAAATATCTTAATTTGTGTTCCGAAGATGAACGGAGGTCTTACGGGTTTGGAACGACATGAGGGTGAGTAATTAATGACAGAATTTTAATTTTTGGGTGAACTATCCCTTTAAATGTGGGTCTATCTTTTGAAACATTGAAAACATAGCAGACTTTTTTTCATTGCAGGCTCATTTAGAAGTCTTTTTAAATGAGCATATTTGTGTATTTCCATTTTTTTTTTGATGAGCAATCTGGTTTCAAATGAAGCTGGTATGTTTCTGATTTCCCTCACTGCATATGTTACTGCCATACTGAATCATATCTCATACAGCTGGCATTGCCTTTTAATGACTAGCACCTCTGTTCCCATGACAACATTTCGTAGTGACTTTGATTTTGTGTTCTTTTAATACATTAGCAGTGGTGTCCCAACAGAAGTGAATAAGAAAGGCTTCTTGAACAAAATGGAATGCTTGGCCTTTGGAAAAACTGAGTGACAATATATGGGTTCTTGAGTTTGTTGTTCTTTTTGTTCTTTGTTTTGTTCTGTTTTGTGTGGCCGGCCACTATCTGGATGTGATTAAAAAAGTGGTGCAACTATTTCAAATATAAAAAGACAAAAGGCAGTTTTTATAATGGATTATGCATCCATTAACACTAGATGTCAGTATTGTATTATAATTAGTACGAAACAGTTACCTTTCTTGATAAAGGCAGATGTTTTTTTTATTATTATATTATTATTCTTTTTCAGGTGCTCAGTAGGAAAAACAAGAGGGAACAGAGTCCGCAATGCCTGCTTCAGATATTGCACCATTATAATGTAATGCATTTGTCCTCAGGTCTGATGCAGCTCTCACTTTCTACCATCTGTGGAAATCTTTGTGATCTAAAATCCATTTCAGGGTTCTACAGCACAGCATTGCCTCACTATCACAGCTCTTTCTGATTGAGAGAGAGAGATAAAGACGGACAATTTGTGTGTGTTTACGTGAACAAGAAAAAATTCAAATGTTTGAGACAATGTATAAAACAATCATTAGTTTGTGGGCACTAAACGTTAAAGCACAGTATTTCAGGGCTCTGTTATGGAGTAATAAGCACGCTGATTGTTTTTTTCATTCTGATGGATTGGTTGGTTCTCTCTATGTATCTTCTGTGTTCATGTATTGCGTACACGTGTGTGACCCAGAAAAACAAAATGTGCATACAGATTGACAGTATATTGTAGTTTCAGTGTTTTAAGCGCAGTGTGTACAGCATCATTCTGACTAAATGTTTTGGACTAATTGTCTAGAATCTTCACTTTCAGGAAGTCATTCATTTGGGTGGAAGCTTTGAAATATGCTCATCACAGACGTTGAGAAAACTGATCTCTTTCAGATTAAAGCTGATTGTACAGTCCTCATTTATTATTCGGCCAAACTTACTTTACTAATGCATTAACTTTGTGAAATTTGGTAAAGTCAGTTGTAAATATAACGTAAACTTGTACATAGAATGTACTGTTTATTTGCATATCTTAATGCGCTCTCGAGATTTTAGAAAAAAAATATGCTCACTTGACAATCATATATAATTCTGTCAAATATATTTTACACTGTCTTCGGATGTCTTTTATTTCTGCATTTTTTATTACTTTTACAAAATGACCAAGGACTATAACAGTTTTTTAGCACAGCTCAGTCACAGCTTTTTATAATAAACATTAAACAAGAAATATAATCAACATAATTTGAGGTATTTCTAAATGCCACAGATATTCTGTGAAGAAAAAAAATCTAGGAAGGATTTTATCTGTCATTCATAAAAGGTGATGGGAGGAAAAAGTTGTTTCAAAGGTGGAGCACTGGTTAAACATCTGTGCTATCATGCAATATATCTGATTTAAATGTTACTGGCAAAACATTTATCTCATAAGAAGTAAAAAAAAAAAATATATATATATATATATGTTTTGATGGCTGCCAGTAAATAAAGTTGCTTTTTTGTGTCCATATGGTGTAACTATAACATCTACCAACGGGCTTGATGGACCAAGCTAACCAGCAAAATCTTAACCTTTTGACCTGGACAGCCTCATGAATCACATGACCAGCCAAGTAATATTTATTTTAGCTTGGTGAGACCTTTAAATAAGAACATTTCTACAATGTACAAGTGTCGTCATTTTTATTTATTTATTTATGTATTTTACTGGAGGAACAGCATCTTCACTGGGTTGCAGTCTTGTGAGAAGCTTTTGTTTAGTACTGCACATGGTATTTCTTGTGCTGAAATCTGATAATGCGAAGCCGCAGAAGACAGACCCTTTGTGTTTCAACATTTCAACACATTCTTGATTCTTTTTGGCTGTGTTTATGTAATTATTAGCTTGATGATTTATGTTTTTAAGTAACTGGTTTCCACCAACACAATCCTCACGTTATTTCCATGTATAGCGATAAAACACTAGTTTAGATATGATTTAGTATGATTTGTTAGATGGAAGCTCCACCTTGTGGTCCGCTGACTTCTGCAAGTTATACATTTTTAAATATAAGTTGATGTATATTACAATTGTTTTAACAAGGAATGTGAGAAAACAATTAGTCAAACAATTAGCCATGCATTTGTTTAATTGCAAGCAATAATTGCATTATGTTAGTAAATGTATTACCTTTCACAGAATTAATTTGTTTGTTTAGTTTACAAAGTTATAAAAAAAAACGTTCCCTGGTTGTGAACGTCACTGACATCAGACTTCACAGCGGTGCGCCTTTCAGACTTTCAGAGCACGAGACAGTTCATCTGAGATCCGCTGCTTCACTCGGCTGCTTCTAACGGAACTCACGGTGAGAGTGCTGCTCTTAAACTCATTCTCGTGCTTTAAAGAATGTGTTATATCGTGTATGTTTGCGCAAATGTTTTGACGGAAACATATTACGAAGCTTTTATTATTATTATTATTTCGCTCGGTGGTTTCAGTAAGATAACAACTTTTGCCTCTTCTTCCTTTTCTATCCTTATTACCTTTTAAGCATATTTTTCATTTGTATTATTTTTAAATATCAAATTATGTTTGTCACCTAAAAACTGTATGGATAACAGCTTTCTTTTAAAACTTGACCATTAAGATAAGCATTTTCACGTTTGTCTATGCGGGATACACCCCGTAAGCAGTCGCCATCTCTTCTAAATATACTTAAATGATTTATAAGCAATTTCATTTTTCGTAAAGTGTTCATGGTATTTTATAAAGAGGAGGAATAGAAAATGTAGGAGAGCGCGCGCACCTGCGACTGCACAAGCTTAATCGTTATGTTCATAATTGTGTGTCTTGAATTGAGTGGGCAGCTGAGTTTGAAAGCATGCAATTACATATGAATTTCAATTAGACTCCAAATAAGGCTCTTCTCTTTCTGCACACATAATTAAACATCAACTTGGTCCATCCATGTGAATTTTAAAAAATGAAAAAGAATGTAAAATGATATAGTAGAAATCTGTTAATCCTTAAAAGTAAATTGCCTTGTCACATAGGCTACAGTATGGGCATATATAATTATGTTTGATAAGACAATAAGTTAAAATATATATAGCTAAGGCTAAATTTATACTTTTACAATCAAATATTGTTGCAGTTATTAATTTAATAATTTATATATTTGTCTTTATTGGCCACAGCTGCTGGAATGGTACATTTTTAGGAACTTTAAGTCATCATCTGGTCTTCTATTGTGTTATTATCAGTCATTTTATGGTAATAAACCAATTTTAATAGCTCAAATCGGTAGGTATAATTAACATTATATAATTTAATTTAATGACATATACAGTACATGGACTGCAACATATACAGGAACAAAAATGCCATCCAGTAATACTTATAACATCATCACTTAGTTTGTACCTTAAATTTTATAACCACAGATTGCAGTTTTCTACTGTAAATGTAGCAAAAATTAATTTTACAGTTCGGCAAAACTGTGATTCTGTGACTTTAGAAGATTGTTTTAGATGCATTTTTTTTCTGGCCCCAATAAATGCTTGAATCTCATGTGGGCTCTATTGTCATACTAACACAGCTGCACAGCTCATAAATGGTGTTGAGAAGTGTGATATCCATATGTCTTCTTGGTCATTCGTTTCCATCATTTGGTAAAATTTTATTGTAAACCTAAATTGTTGCTTGGTAATTGTGTTTTCCAAATGTGTGCTGTAATTACAGAGCCACTCTCCGAAAGAATGCATTATTGATCATGCCACACAGTGGTATCAAGACAATGACTGCACAATGCTGAATGAATGTCAAAGAAGTCTGAATGACCTTCTGCTGATTCTTGCTAGAGGGTGATTGTTAAGAGAGAGCAGATGCTCCGAAGGTAGACCATCTCTGAATCACTTACAATCGTTTCGGCTATTAAGAGACCCCAAATCAGATCAATAAAGACCTTTGTGTGATTTGTTCTCCAGCCTCAACCTCCTTCTGGCTAACTGGGAATCAGTCTTGGAGACAGCAGGCCTATTGCTTAACAAATGAGTCTTTCTCTCCCGCTTATCTTGTACGGAAACTGCTTTGACTCAACAGAGACATTTCCGAGCGAACTAGTTTTACGGTTGATGTCATATGGCGTGGTTCTTTTCCATTCTTTTTGTTGTCTTCACACCTCGCAACATGCCTATAGAGACTGTACTCCCTCTCAGGAGTGTGTGTGTGCTTTCGCGTCTGACTGTTTTTGGGACAGGATGAAGAAGGTTTCCCTGCTGTGAGGATGAGGAGCATTCTGCCAGGATGCTCAGCTGGAAGATAAGGAGGCACATTGCAGGGAGCCAGTTGTGATACTGCGAAACAGAAGCGATATTTGATGGAGCACCACATGTGTTGTAAGCAGTCACATTGGAGTCAGGATCTCTCTCTATCTTTCCCTCAGCTCTTGGCACCAGACGGATCCTCCTTATGGTTTTAACACTTAGCCTGTTGTTATGCCTTTTTGTGTCCTAGACACTTTTAGAGCTGCCAAAACGAACAATGTGAGGTGTGAAATTGCTGAAACTGTTTGTCAAGAGATGGGTGCTCTCGTTTGTGTGGGTTGATGTCCCTCTTTTGAAGCATTCTTTTGTAATTTTAGGAGGCTGCCTGTGAAATCTTAATGTTTCAGCCAACCTTATCTCAGATTCTCAGTGCAAGATGGGAACGATGCAATTTGCAAAGCTAAGCACTTGTTTTTCCCTCTTTGATTGATCTTAGTCACAAATAATGTGCTTATACAGACCAACACACCAGCAGTGCAATATCTGACTTCCATTAAAAAGAAATTGTGACAAAGCAATACTCTTTACCTGAGTGGAGTATGAAATTGTACTTAGGATATTTGAATTACAGTGATATTATTGGTGTCATTATAGACTTCCCACATTTAGTCCAAGGATTATGGTTCTCTTGATGGTTTTGGTATAATATCAGTTCCTGGTACCTCAGTATTGATACTAAAATCAATATCCCAATACAAAACGACAGTATGTAGACTGTTAAATATGCATGATAATGATAATTAAATCTAATGATTTAAATGCTGTAATTTATAGGCAGATAAAGGTCATCTTTAAATCAGGGTTATAGAATGAACAACTTATAAAGCCAATCAAACCTATTCAATAACTCAGTAATAAAGCAAATAAATAAAATCAATTTATAATCAAATTATTACCTACCATCAAATTATCAAGGTGCATCTCAGCATATTTTTCCACTTGTGTTTTCAAATAAGTTCTTCAAATATTCCAGAACTTAAAATATATTGTAATTAATTCAATTAACAATTATCTCAAATGCACTCAAATTAGACAGAAAAGCCAAACTTACTAAAATCAATATCCCAATACAAAACGACAGTATGTAGACTGTTAAATATGCATGATAAAGGATACATTTATAAATCTAATGATTTAAATGCTGTAATTTATAGGCAGATAAAGGTCATCTTTAAATCAGGGTTATAGAATGAACAACTTATAAAGCCAATCAAACCTATTCAATAACTCAGTAATAAAGCAAATAAATAAAATCAATTTATAATCAAATTATTACCTACCATCAAATTATCAAGGTGCATCTCAGCATATTTTTCCACTTGTGTTTTCAAATAAGTTCTTAAAATATTCCAGAACTTAAAATATATTGTAATTAATTCAATTAACAATTATCTCAAATGCACTCAAATTAGACAGAAAAGCCAAACTCCTGCATTAACTGTCTTAAATTAAATTGTATGTTAACTTTGCTTGTATGTCTATATACAATACAATTTGTAGCCAAATATCTTTGAGGCTTCGCAATAGTGCCACCCTTTCTTGATGGCTATGACTGTCTTCACTGTCTGGCAGATTTGGTGGGTGTTAATCTGCCGTGGGCAGCATCCCCTCATATTATTTGGAGTGCAGCCAATTGCTTCTACACACCAAACATGACCCGATCCTAAACACCATAGCTAAGGTAGACCTACATATAATTCCCGGAATAGAAACTAATTAGAGTTAGCTGCTATTGAATGAGAAAATGTTCTCCGTGTCCCGTATGTGGTCTGTTTTCGCCTCATTCAGCATCAGAAAACTCAAACAAAGATGTAACCTTCTTAGATCTTCCAGTTGAGAAAGAGAAAAGGCTTCAACCTTTCATCCTGTTGAAACGTTTTTTTTTTTTGTTCTTCTGCTTTCTGGAGGTAGCAGGGGTGCAACAGGTGGCTTATGAAGCCCCAGATCTCAGCAGGAGGAGATGTTGAAGACCTCACAGTGGAAGCTCTCCCTCCTCTTGAGATGTCAGTGAGTTCATTAGTGAGCTCCACATTCCTTTCAAACCTTTGCACAATATTATCATCCAAGTCGCTTGTGGAGGCTTTTATCAGTTATTCACACAGTAGTAGGATCTGAAGTGTCTGAACACCATGTTGTGCTCAAACATACCCTCTGTGGTAACTCCACCGCCTCGCTGTTTTCTTTCTGGGATTTTTTTTTCATTCTCTTTCTGGGTCTGGGTCTGGTTGTCTTTTGTTGAGTTTCCAGCACCATGCTGGGCTCCATGTTGTGACCCTTTGCTGAATATCCTGTATGATCATAACTTGCCTGCTGTTACTCTATAAACAGCAGAAGTACTACCGCATGAATCCACTGAGATCTTTGTTTGTTGTATGGCTATACTTCTATGTCTTGTATCTCACATGCATGTGTCTGTGTTTGTGATTTGTTTTTTTGTGATAATACAGAGGACTATCTGTTGGTTACTGGAATGTGTTTCCAGGATGTATATTTGATTATTTCTGTTGGATGGACCGGAAATGTCAAAGAAATGGAATATTCTTTCTATGCATTTAAAAAAATATATTCAATACTTCAGCTTGGTGATTTTTAACATGCTGATGACATGTCAAAGCTACAGTATTAAATAGTTTGACTATTTAATGTCTTCTTGATTCACTAAGGCAGGGATTCCCAAACTTTTTTTGCTGCTTATTAATAGTTAGTAAGGTAGTTGTTAAGTTTAGGTGTGGGGTAGGATTAAAAGATCTAAAATATTGTCATGTAGAATAAGGCATTAATAAGTGCTTAATAAATAATAAATAACCAATATGCTAGTAATATGCATGCTAATAAGAAACTAGTTAATAGTGAGAAGTTGTCCTTAAAATAAAGTGTTACCATATATATTTTTTTATTTTATTTATTTATTTTATTTGGACCAGCAACGTCCTAGCAACCACCCTGAGCAACCGCATAACAACATGATAATAAACACTCAGAACACCTAACCATAGTAGCATGGTACTGTACTGTATAAGCCATTCAGATGACCTTAGTA